GATACTATAGCGATGGATGACATCCTCCTGATAGTATACACTTTTGCAAACTCGCAGAATGTACATCAAGAGTGAATCCTAATGCAAACTCTAATGAGTACGGAGAATTTTTTTTAACTATATGACAATCATTAAAGAGAAACTATTTAAATGGAGGATCCACAATCATCATGGTTACAAATAATACATACTCTTCTCAAGACCATGAAGAACCTGCTCTACCAAACACCAAGACTTATTGGGCCTTAGAATCTAAGACAATGAAGAATTCATTGGAGATAATCAAAATGATAGTGGAATATAATAAGGAAACCATGAAAACCCACTCGTAGGGAACTAATTTATAACTGGCATGGAAGATCAGTTAGATATTTGACTATTTGTTTATCAGGTGCTGTGATAACTGGTTATTTCTGTGAAAGAAAATTAAAATGGATCCCTACACTATGCCATGCCCAAAAAGCAACTCTAGGTAGATTAAAGACTTAAAGTCAAAAAGAACAAATAACTCTTAAAGCTTTCAAAGAAAATATAGGAGGAGCACCTGGGTGGCTCAGTCGGTTGAGCGTCCGACTTCGGCTCAGGTCGTGATCTCACAGTCCGTGGGTTCGAGCCCCACGTTGGGCTCTGTGCTGACAGCTCAGAGCCTGGAGCCTGCTTTGGATTCTGTGTGTGTCTCTCTCTCTCTCTGTTCTCCCCTGCTCACGCTCTGTCTCTCTCTCAAATAAATAAACATTAAAAATGTAAAAAATAATAAAACATAAGAGCATATCCTTAAGACCATAGAAAGGGAAGGATTTTTAAATAAGGTGTACCAAGCACTAAATATATTGAAGCTTCCTATATTTGATATCATAGGCATCATTAAAAAGGTGAAAAGAGGGGCGCCTGGGTGGCGCAGTCGGTTAGGCGTCCGACTTCAGCCAGGTCACGATCTCGCGGTCCGTGGGTTCGAGCCCCGCGTCGGGCTCTGGGCTGATGGCTCAGAGCCTGGAGCCTGTTTCCGATTCTGTGTCTCCCTCTCTCTCTGCCCCTCGCCCGTTCATGCTCTGTCTCTCTCGCAAAAATAAATAAATGTTGAAAAAAAATGTTTTTAAAGGTGAAAAGATAAGCCACAATGGGGAGAATTATATTTACCACTCATGTAACTATCAAGAATCAATATACATGTTGATATATATTGATATCTATATATGTATATAGAAAGGGGATGAAGCTTAGGAAGAATACTCAAATAGCTTTAATGGTGTTGGTTATGTTCTAGTTCTGAGGTTGGGTAGTATATTGCCCCTTTTATTCAATAAATACACGCACACATTATATACATACACACATTGTATATATTATTCCACATGCATCATCAAAATTTCTATAACAAAAATATTTAATAGAATGCTTTCTAATGGGTAGAATATTTCTTTGGTGGGGGGAGTATATTTGGGTAGAGATATTTCATCAGCTGATAGTTGAAAATACTTATTATTCTGGAGAGAAGTCTAGGCCAGATTGGCAATTTGGGGAGTTATCGCTACATAAATATCCATACGGATCTGCAGACTTCCTTCGTTATTTAGAGATGTGGAAATTCAAGAATTGTATACATGAGAATGAATAAAATAGAATGGATGATATATACTGGTGAAAAGTTAATGAAATCAGAGCACTTCATCGTTTAAAGAAAAGGGAACATTTTCCTAAGGGAGTAGGAAATGTCCTGGAATGTGTTTGTGCATCTTAGCAAGAAACGATGGTGGGTGACCAGTGGTGGGAGAGCATTCCTGAAACCTGAAGTTTGGGGAAGAAGACAGGTCTACGGCTAGAAGGACTTGTTTCAAGATAGCGTTTGTGCTCTACGATGAACAGTCAAGGAAAATCAATATACATATTTAGGGACATCTTGCATATCAGGAGCTGGAATGGAATTAGGGCTTCTAAACACATAGCTGTCTGAAAACAAACAAACAAACAAACAAGTAAACAAACAAAAACCAAACAACTGTCCTCATTCAGGACTTTAGCCCTAGTTCGGTACTTGACAGAATGAAAATGTAGAAACACACGGGAAAATGCCCATTGGGAGTACATTCCAGCAATTCCTGACCCGCTTCATTCCCCCACCTTCACCACTCCCCCACGATGGGGGGGAGAAAATTCCAGTAACGGGGCCCACGACGGTTTATACTTGAGACAAGAGAGGAGGAAACCTAGAAAAGGATCCCGTGTTTCATTCATCCCCGGAGGCCTGCTTGTTCCTTGCTTGGTGAAATCAGTCTTGCTTTCTAGGCTGAGATACTTACAACGTTTTGCAGGAAGAAGAAAAACAGTTGCTTAGTCGTCTTCCACAGGGATGTATGTGTCCCAAGCACGCTGCGGGCTCCCGCCAGCCGCCACCAGGGAACAATTACTGCTCCTGTTGTTTTCAGCTTTGCGCCTGCGTGATGGGCAGCGCTGGCGTTAAGTGCTCTTTGGCGAATAGGAAGGGCGGTATTTAGAAATGACCTGAACTCGTACTTTCCATTTTGCAGCATGACTGTGGAGGGTCGTCCGATTCGAAGGGCAAGGGGCTTCCTGTGCCAGGCAAGGAGAGTCCGTGACCGAGTCGCAAGAAATGATGGAAATAGGAAGTTTTCCTGTTGCTCTTTTCCATGAGAGGTTAGTCCCAAAGTGACGATGACGCAGTGATTAAGCAGAGGCCAGGAAGAAACAAGAGTGGAATGCACGGATTCACAGAGCCGGGAACCCGGGGGCGGAGCCCCAGTTTTCAAATTTGCAGCAAGTTGGAGAAGCCTTAGGCAAGCGAGAGGTGGGGAGTGCTTTGATTCACCTAATCAATCCCTACTCAAGCATACATTGGCTGGAAGCAAGGATGAAAGAGTACTGTGAAGGTTAGCCCAACATCCTCATTTCAGAAAGAGAACTGACTTCTGAGAAGTGCAGCTCAGCTGTCATCGACGGTAATAATAGTCACCATTTATTAATGGTATTAATCCAATGGTAATTATTTCATAACATAATGAGTATTTTACACGGAACATTTCATATACTTCTCATGCAGACAACTCTGATAGAGACCATTATCAAACCCATTTTACAGATTAAAACAGAACATGAAGGCGGGGGGCGGGGTGGTAAATGAGTTACCCAGTGTCACATGATCAGTTTGTAGGAGAGCCAAGACTTTTTTATACCCAGGCGGTGCGAGCCCAGGGCCTGCTTTCTTACCCACTGTGCCTCTGGCATGATTTCCACATCAAGCCATAACCAAGGATGTACGGGCACAATGCAGAGAAAAGTATTCTACAGCAGACACACGAACTCTGTGCACACGTATCTGTTTTAGTCTGAGTTTCTGGTCCCTGGCCTCCTTTCCCAAAGTTCTAATATTCCATATTAATTCTTATAATTACAAACTGTGCGTGACAGTTTTTGGCTATTACTGTAATTTGAGTTTGTAGAGGAGGCAATTAAGAGTATTGAGTAGTTGGCAAAAGTACCCCACAATCTGGGAGAAGACAATAGCTAGATAGCTGGGGAAGAAAGACCAGAAAAGACAGGATGACCTGGGAAAGATCCGAGTTTGTTCTTTATCGCTTTGTTTTCACACCTGGGAAACAAAATATTGTTTGGAATATTGATATAAGAAAGATGAACATCGGGGTGCCTGGGTGGCTCAGTCGGTTGAGCGTCCGATTTCAGCTCAGGTCATGATCTCGCGGTCTGTGAGTTCGAGCCCCGCGTCGGGCTCTGTGCTGATGGCTCAGAGCCTGGAGCCTGCTTCCGATTCTGTGTCTCCCTCTCTCTCTGCCCTCCCCTGCTCATGCTCTCTCTCTCTCTTTCTCAAAAATAAATAAAACATTAAAAAAAAAAAAAAGATGAACATCATTAAAGTAGAAGATTGGCTCTTTCTGTAGTGGAGGAAGACCTACACTGTCCTTGACCGTAAGTGGTATGATGAAAGGAGCACTCCTGAAACAGGAGCCTGGGGACCTGAATTCGAGAAACAGGGTTGCCATTTGTGAGCTGTTATTGTTGACAAATTACTTATTCATTCATTCTACATGTACCTGTTGGGCATCAGCTATGTGCCTGGGCTGTTCTAATGCTGCAGGTGCCATGGCAAAAAAAATAAAGAACTAGTCACACCCCTTAAGCAAGTTATCGTATAGTTCAGGGGTCATCAAACATTTTCTGTAAAGGGATAGATAGAAAATATTTCAGGCTTTGCAGGCTGCATGGTGTCTATAGCAAATACTCAACTATGCAGGTGTGGTACAAAAGTGGCCACAGCCAACACAGAAACAAATGGATGTGGCTGTGCTCCAGTAACACTTTATTTACAAAAATAGGTGGCAGACCAAATTTGGCTAGCAGGCTGTGGTTAGCCAACGCCTAGTCTAGAGGAAGAAGCAAGTATTAACCAGATAAGTGTGCATGTGGCAACATATGCAAAGGCCCTGTGGCACAGAGGACACAGATAGCTTTAGTGGGGTTCATAGAAGGTCAGTGGGGCTATTTGCCAAGTGAGTGAAGGGATTAGCATGTGAGTGAGACAGGAAAGGGAGAGAGGGGCAGACTAGCAGGAACTTTGGGGGCACTTAAAATTTTAGTCTTTGCCATACTAACAGTTGGCAGTCATTGGATTACTTTAAGCAGGATGGCAACATGATCAGATTCAGGTTTTAAAAGATCACTCACTACAGTGATCTTTTAGTATAGATTGAATTGAATGAAATCTCATCATCTGAAACATAAGAATAGGTAAACTATATCAACAGTTCATTGTGGTGAACAAATCACACAAGGTGCATAAAAGTGTGTTATGAAATATAAATGATGTAGAGAATTACCTAGAGCTGTTTTACAGGAAGCAAAGGTCATGTTCTTTTGAATGTTCTCTATGAACAAAGGCAGTCTGAATTCATGAAAGAAATCGTTTTGTTTATGTTAACGGGCTTCCTTCACCAGGGAAACTGCTCCTTGGGGTGCTCCAGAAAGACGAGGGACTTCTTTCTCTCGCTCATTCCGTCTCTGTCTCCTTTCCTTCTCCCAAGCACATCGGGGTGCTGCCTGGAGCCCAGGCCTGGCTCCAAACCCATGAAAATTGGCCAAGCGTAAAAGCTTCTCAAGAATGAGATGGATCCTGGGGCATCTTCCCCCGAGAAGCTGGATAAAGAGAATTTAGTGGGTAAGTCCCTCTTTTGTGCCCTAAGCTCGTTTTTTGTACGTTAAGCAGAGCGAGAGTTGTGGCATTTGTGAGAGTTACAGGGTTACCCATGAAGGGGATTGATACATATCGGGACTGGCGTCAATTCCAGTTGGAGCCCAGGGTTTTGGATTCATTGCTTTTTGTGGCTTTGGTTTTTCTTCTCAAACAGCAGTCTATCATCTGCTCTTTTCTTCAGTGTTAGCTGGAATTTGTGTTTGTCTTTACACTCTTTGTTTTTCTTTTTTTGCATTACACAGCAAAGACCTCAGGCTGAAATGTATCCGTTTTCAAATATCAGCTGGTGATGCTGTGGTTAAAAAGAAAAGTTGAGGGGCGCCTGGGTGGCGCAGTCGGTTAAGCGTCCGACTTCAGCCAGGTCACGATCTCGCGGTCCGTGAGTTCGAGCCCCGCGTCAGGCTCTGGGCTGATGGCTCAGAGCCTGGAGCCTGTTTCCGATTCTGTGTCTCCCTCTCTCTCTGCCCCTCCCCCGTTCATGCTCTGTCTCTCTCTGTCCCAAAAATAAATAAACGTTGAAAAAAAAAAAAAGAAAAGTTGATGTGAGCTGCATCATGTTTGGTACATGGAGAAAAGTTGAGGAAAATAAAAACTTGGGCCATAAGCGCTAACTACTACCTTGAACGGCATGTCGGTATTATGAAGCATTTTGCTTGCATTATAGTTTTAAATATTTTTTTAACGTGTATTCACTTTTTGAGAGACAGAGACAGAGTGCGAGCAGGGCAGGGGCAGAGCGAGAGGGAGACACAGAATCGAAGCAGGCTCCAGTCCCTGAGCTGTCAGCACAGAGCCTGAAACGGGGCTCGAACTCACGAACCGTGAGATCATGACCTGAGCCGAAGTCGGACGCTCAACCGACTGAGCCACCCAGACGCCCCAGATTTTTAAATCCTACAATAATTCTGAGGTAGCTTCTTGCATAATCTCATTTTATGAGGGAGAAAACTGAGTTTGGGGGAGCTTAAAAACTTGTTCAACTTCCAGAAAGTGATGATACACATGTGTAGGTATGTGCATATGTGTGAGGAGGGAGAGGGGGTCCTTACCCACCCTGTCTATACTTTATGCTGCTGAAGAAGTCCCAATGAGAGCTAGAAATAGAGAACACATTTGGCATGATCGATTTGTAAAAGGAAAAGTATACGTGTAGAGATATTTATCTACATCGATATGTTGGAGGCAGTAAATATCCCTTGGAAGCTAAGAGGGAGGTCTCTCGAGAATACCTTCCATTATCTTTTTAAACAAGACGTTTCCTGAGACATTTTAGCTTCCAATCAACAAGAGAAAGCAGCAGCTGGGGAAATGGTATGGCTGGAGCTCCAGACCAGTGGGATATTTAAAACTGTCCACAGGGTTACTCGGTTTTGGTTTTTTTTAAATATAGTGAAAACCCTGCACTATCACAGTGCAAACAGACATGGAGCTTATATGTCACAGCTTCTGATTTCATATGCTTTTGGCAGTTTATGAGAGATGTGGCATCGGTCATCCTCTGGAGATTGGGGGGGTGAGTTCGCCCTTGCCCTCCTCCATCTTGGATACGTCAAGGAGCTGACCTTAGTTAGTGTTTCACACTGTGCGGAAATTTCCACTTACAAATGTTGAGGGAATTAAATGAGCGATTGAGCCCTTGTTGTCACCTCCAGCAGGAGACTTCTGCGGTACTGTGCCACTAGCTTGTGGCACAAACGTCCGGAAGCCACCAGTGTGCGTCTCTTCCCAACTCCAAGCTCAGTGACATCACAGGGGAGATCAAATCTACAGAGTGCTATAAATTAGGGCTCCCTCCCCCCCTCCACCTGGTTGTTAAACACGTACTCGTGTAACGTGTTTACACGTACTCGTGTAACGTACTCCTGTAACTCGGGACGACACTACTCATTAGCCGTTGGCTTCTCTCACACTCCTTATTTTGTTCCCTTTCTCTTTAAGACTTAAAGTGAAGCCAATTGGAATCTTAATCATCCAAATCTTGGAATTTCTTCTCCATGTTAATATGAAAAAAAATTTTTCCCAGGGAGTTTTTTACTACACAGGGGGCTTTGGTCCTCATCCCTGGAAGGCCTGGTACTCTAGTTCCGGGATGGGCTTACGGTTTTGCATCCAAGGAAGTTGCAAGCTGGTGAGGTTGCCGGGCTGAGACCACACTTCGAGTAGCACAGGATTTCTTTCTAGCAATTCTGTGTTTTCCCTGAAGAATATCCCTTGATGCAAGCTGGGTGCACATTTCAGAGAAACAGGCAGGAGGGAAAATGACTTACAGGTGATGAAAAGATAGCATTTACCAGGAGGGGTTCACTTCAGATTTTATGTCGGGCACCTAAAATCTTTGATTCTCTGAAGAAAGAACCAGGAAGGTGCTGAGACTGTACTTCACCGACTGTTTCTCCACAGGATTGGAAATGAATAGAAAGAGGAAGAACTTGTAACCCTACATCCCCAGGCCCAGGGAAGGTGACCTCGATCTACACACTTTTAATTTTTCCCCTGGGAGGCATCCAGGCTTTCCTGCTGTGGAAACAGAAAGGACTTTTTTCTTTTTTTACTTGATGTGATTAAGTTTCTTATTTAAAGATCCCCTTTTAATATTATAAAGGTATCAAAAATTAAGAAAACTTAGGACAGTCTTGCGGAGGAGGAAACATTTCCCCTTACCCTTCAAAGCTCTTCTGGCTGGCCTCAGAATTAAATTGACCTGAGACTGACTAACGGGAGATAATCGAATTGTGTACAAACAGGAACCCCACATGCATAAGAGGTTCAAAGACTGAAAGAGAAAATGAGGTACATGTGTCATCCTGACCTACGGGCTGGGCCAGCGCCCTGGGGCCCCAAAGGGGAGGAGGGCAATTCTCAGGGCAATAAGAGCAGGTGCTTGGTAATTACATGTTTGCTCGGCCACAGAGATGGGTCACTTAGAGAAAATTCATCTCTGGTAAGAACTCTCATTCTGGGAAACCGCCCCCCCCCCGGGGTTGGAGTTCTTCTAGGTAGTTAAGGGAGGAGCAAAGATCTCTCTTGAGCTCACTGGGTCTTGATTTCTCCTCCAAATGCTCACATGCCAAAGTAGCCCGCTTTAGGGAGATTTGTTCTGACCCCCTTCAGTATAAACCGATCATACTCGCACTGTTCAGAATTAACCACTGTTAATATTTGGGTCAGTTTCTCCCAATATTTTTCCATGCGTGTATTTTGTGCGGATTGGGATCATATCGTGCATAGAATTTTTCCTTCTCCTGCTTTCTTCTTTTAACATCATACCGTAGGCATTTTCATGTTTTCATAAATTGTTTACAAAAATATCCGTGATACAATGTTGTGAGGGTATGTGGTGGTTTGCTTCATGATCTCTCCCCTGGACTCTCAGAGAGTTTTTTACTTACCCATGTCATAAATAACACTATCACGAGACTGCACCTAAATCTTAAGGACAAAGTATTTGTTGTTGCTGTTGGCCATGCTGTTATTTCATACAGAAAAGGGAGGTTGAGGAGACAGAAGAATGATGCAAGCAGGGGAGAAGACAAACCTTTTCTCTACCCTTTTAGGTTCTTTGGCAGGTCTACTAATTAAATGAACGTAAGACGACTCGCGGGAGAAAAACACCTCGCGTGAACGCGAGAGGCTCTACGACAGTCAGGCAATTGAGGGTTATGTGCCAGCCTGAGCTAAGAAGAAGGGGGCGGTAGGCTGGGGCTTCCAACACACAGGAAGGGGAGAAGAGCAAACGTTTGGTAAATAAATGTTTGTCATACCAGGCAGAAACCGTGGGATGCGGAGGGGAATTTAAACGAACAGGTCCTGCCCATCTCCCCTTGGCTAACCACACCCTTTGTAATGATCTCCGATGATCTCTTCCTGGACCAAAAGCTCTTCTTGAGTCTTTTGGGCCTTGCATACCTGCAGTTCAGAATAATCCGTGTGCCAAAGCAGCCCGTTCTGGGGGGGCTCATTCTGGACGCCTTCATGAGGAAAACATGTCCTTGGTTTTCTTCTCATAACGGTATGGGGGTTTGGTACAGCAGTAGCGTGAAGGACAAGATGTGAGGCCAGATGGTTCTCAGTTTAATTGCCTCTCTGGAGAGCAGGCAGAATCTCTTCCGACGGATCATTATTTCCAGACAAGAGGCGTCAAACTGATCACTAAATCTATTGTGCTGCTGAACATCATCCTTTTTTGTTTGTTTGTTTTTGAGCATCATTTTTGATCATTCGGTGCATTTGGTTGCCATTCACCTCATTTGTTTGATGAACGAATTTAAAATCTACCGTGTGTCAGAGATGGAGACCTAAAAATAAAATGCCTGCTCTCAAAGCCCCACAAATCTCCAGGCAAGGCACACGAGTTAGCTGAAAATTACAACGTCCTATGAAAAGCCACGATGGAAGGTGTACGAGAAATTCAGAAGAGGAGCGCCCGAAGGTGGGGGTGAGAGAGAAGACTCTTCCTAGAAGAGGTGACGAGTGAGGGGAGCGGTGTGGCCAGGTGAGGGAGAGGAGAATGGGGGACGTGAAGGGGGGCTGGGGGCCACAAAGGCCCACGCAGAGGCACAAAGATGTGTGAGGACACTCGTGCTTAACTCTAATACAGGTGTTAGCATGTGGCTTAGTCACCTAGACCCAGAGGTGACAGACCATAGCCCTACCACCTGAAAAACTGAATTGAAGATTTCCTCAGAGCCCGTGTGTCAAGCCTGGTCTCCTAATGCGCGCTTGGGTGTTGCTGCATTTGACTGATGGGATGAAGGCTCACTGGAACTCATCGTGAGGAGGCTGCAGGCAAGGTTCCTCTGGGGCGAGGTCATGACACGGGCCGCACGAGGGGCTTCCCTTGGGTTGGCCGTGCTTGAATTCTTAAGCTGAAGGTGGGAGGGCATAAGGCGTTAGAAGCACTTATTTTTACACGTTCTCGAACATTTAAGCATTCTTTTTAAATTTTTTTTTTCAACGTTTTTATT